AACGATTTGAGCTCTTAAACGTTCGTATTTTTTTTTTTTTTTTTTTTTTTTTTTTTTGATCGGTACTTTTCGAGCGAGAGATATTTATTTATATTAAATCAAACTGTAGTGTTTGTCGTTTTACGATTAGTGGCGTTGAAATTCTGGTTTTGCAAAGAAGAAGATACATTTGGTATTATGCCAAGTTATATGGTCCAAATTAAACGGTTGTAAACTTAAATGTGCTAAGCTATATAACATGTGTATATTGAGCCATATAGTTTTTAACATCAAAATTATAATACTTTACAGTTACTTACAGTGATAAAAGAAGACTATCATTCGCCGTATATATATATGATATAGCATGATTATTATGTGAAATAGAATAAACGTTACAATGAAAACAAATAAGCTTCAAAGTAATAAAATAATTAGATAGAGAAAGAAATAGAAAGATAATGGTGAACTTAGAAAATAGGAAACTTTGAGAGGGAATAAGAATATATATCGTTAGCATTACAAAGCCGTAGGTGCCATTTTTGTTGATACAGAGATATTATACACCGTTTGAATAAGAATTCCAAGCCCTTTCTGAAAGTGCAACCTCTATGACTATTCTATCTCCATTTATTGTTACTATTGCTAATTCTTTGTCTAAATTGATAAAGACTTTATCTCCGTTAGGGTCATTAGGTGTTTATGTTATTAAAAAGAGGGTATAATCTCCTAACCCGAAACTTGGACACTCATTTATAGCTCTATGTCCTTCTTTTTCGACTGTATTGTCAATAACAATTATCTATGTTCAAAATGTAGGTACACTTTAGTTTTATAAAAATTTCTGTTCAATTTGTCCATTTAGTATGCTGAAAGGTAGTCATGTGGAAACATACGTGTTATGTACATACAACAACAGAAAGGGGACGCTCTATCTCACGATGCCTTCACCGCGTGATTTATTTGTAATTTGCCGATACAAAAGACAGTCATTTTTTTAATTTCTTCCATAATTTCGAAACATTCATTAGTAATTAATTGGATAAAGTGTAGAACCCTCTACATAGTTTAGACCCATTCGTACTCATGAACCACTACAGTCAACAAAAGATTGATAAATATGGAACTATTTATAGAAAGCTACATCAATTATGAATCATTGGAATGGGAAAGAACTTATTTTATTTTTTATTTATTACAAAGATGATAGTTTTCAAAGATATTTAATCTGAAGATGCAAAGTCACATTTATTGGTTACTTCTTTTGCTCAAACTTTGAAGTGTAAGTATTATAATTGTATATATGAAGCAATTGATATTTCTGTCATCCTATCAAGATTGCATGACGTTTATCTTTGTCCATGTCTTTGTCCAGGGCAGAAATTCTGTAACGGTGCTTTCTATCTATTCATTAAATTCAACACATTCTTTGATGATCATGTTCGACATTGCGATGAATTCTTCTTCATCTATTCCACCATTAGCTGTGAAGAAGGAAATAGAATGTGTCAGAATTCTGTCAAAATTATATATAATTTTCATTATCCCATCTTTATATAAATATAACAGCCAGCTATTGCAATTTTAACATAACATTTTCATTGCATTTATTTCATTTAACGCATTGAATGCATTGAAATTAAATTTAATCTAATAAATAAGGTTTCAAGTTTGACCTTTGACACAAAATCCTTATTTTGACTAAGGTATATATTCTCTAAATGTATTCATTGTCTCAAACCAAACAAATACTTCAAGCACATAATAGCTTAAAAAACGTTTGCTTAAAGTTTATACATAAATATATAATACATAAAAGAATACAAACTTGGCAGTTTATCCATGTCCTTGAATAGACCATTACTTTTCTCTGTGTTTCCTAGGACAGCATACATTTCATCTTTGACGATGGTGCCATCGTGATTATGATCGTATGTACCAAACAGACAGGGATTATCTTTTATATCGACACTATAATACAAACCATCCTAAAAATAAGAAAATATAAATACATTATCAGCCACGGTTTACACATTTATGTAATTGTGACTATTTTTCCTTCGCGGTTCTATGTGAATAAACTTTTTAAAAAATTATTACAATACAAAATAGTAAAATAATCTGGCCCTGTGTCAACTAAAAAACCTGGACCAAAATCAAACAATCCTGATTTTATGTTTTATGCTTTATGAACTAATGTGATTATATTTGGCTACAGTTAAAATGGTACAAAGAAAATAAAATATAAACTATTGCCCTTTTTTAAAAAAATAAATAGCAACCCTAATTTGGAATAAAAGTGAAGAATAATAAAACAAGAATAATCAGATCAAAATTTGGGCCAATTTAAGAATCAAGATCAATACACCAATTGTTATAAGCCCTAATATTGTAAAGTTATAGTAAATTGTTCGAAAATCTTATTAAAGTGCTATCTCTACACACCTTTTATGAAGGTATTATTGAATATTAAATCTATGATGTTAAATAAATGAGAACTTTTTTAGTTTTTTAAATTTTGATCATGATCTTGATCCTTATCTTTACATCTTAAAGAACATGAAGACTAGTTATATCTTACCGAATCAAAGTCACATGAAGCCGACGATAGCGCGATTTAATGACGATGCGCATGTACACATCAGTAGAAACGGAAAAAGGAATGATACGTTCATACATATTCAAGTATGTACTCTAAGATTTCAGTAACTACTCACTTTCTAACTTGAAAGATATATTGTAAGGGATAGAGAATACGATGCTAGTGTCTGATATTGCAAAATTATTCAGGTAAGGCTAAGAAAAAAGGAGGACATGGCTTTATCATGTAAACTTTATCATGTTTGCAATTTTGATATGCGTTTCATTCTTTAAATCTGAAATAAAACGAAAACCTATGAAGAATCCTCCATTTCAAGCCGCACGCAGTAAGGGTCATATCTTTAAAAATGTAGTCCAAAATATATCTTTTTAATGTATTCGGTTAAAAATTTATCAGTATATATTTTCAAACTAGTAAGAGGTAAAAATATTCCACCACTCTCTTCATTTGAGCCGCGTTACGACAAAACCAACATAATGCGTTTGCGACCAGCATGGATCCAGACCAGCCTGCGCATCTGTGCAGTCTGATCAGGATCCATGCTTTTCGCTTACAAACCCTATAACAAGTAGTGAAACTGACAGCGAACTGCATGGATCCTGATCAGACTGTGCGGATGCGCAGGCTGGTCTGGATCCATGCTGATCGCAAACGCATTATGTAGGTTTGTCGTGACGCGGCTCATTTTATTTCAATATACAATGTACATTGTTGAGGTATCTGATAAAGCTGAAGGTGTCTGATAAAGCTAAATTTATCAGACATGCACTTTTATCAGCAGAAATCAATATAATGACATGATCAACGGATTTAAATGGTTTATGTTAAAAATACATATTTCTTAAATAAAAACTTACCCAATCTCTCGGATACCTTTTCCTCCTCTCCCTCTCCCAATAACACCACTCAGACGAGGTTGAAGTTGAACAGTCCGAAAAACGACGCGGCGTTTTGTCACAGCCTTTAGCAGTTTGTAAACTTACAATGAATAATAATCCAACGGTACTTAAAAATGCGATATTCTGAAACGAAATGTTTGAAATATTCAGAAACAGATAATTTACCATGTTTTTGCTGCTGATTTTGCTGACACTGCGTATGATGTGCAGGATATTGGTGCAATAGTAACTATTGCCGTTAGTACTAAAGCAGCTGCCAGCAGGAACTATTTCTGCAGATGATCATACTGATGATGATGATTATGACAACGACGATAGATAAAAAGAACAGAAAATATAACACTGTTTTAAAAATAGGTATCTCTTTACCACCAAAACTGTATTTGAAATATTTTCTTTTACAATTGCTAGTCCCAAATTTGCGATTTTTTCTGTCTTTCTTTGTAATGTTTCCTTAAGCATTTACACAGTCGTTCCAAATGATATATTCCAATGGATATAAATATCCATGATTAATGATTAATATGAGTATAGTTAGAAAGTGATATAACTTCTATAAACGGTCCAGAAAATTTCATTTACGATAGTTTCCTTTAGTGGTGTAATTGTCATTTTAGTGTAGATTTATTACGTATCAAAATACTAATACGTAAGATTTATGTACATGATTTATATTACTATTAATATCGCATAATACCATATCAAAATATTAAATATCTAATGTATAGGTTCTCAAATATCTAATGTAAAGGTTCTCAAACGTGTAAACTGTCGTTGTTAAACAAATTGAAACTCGAAAGAACGCGCAACGAGGCAAAATCAAAATGATTGCTAATTCATTCTGCCTTGGCCAGTTCATTAAATGTAGCTTTAAATTTAAGCTACCATCCACATCAAAGCATTGACATGAGCAGAACTAAGTCTAACATTTCGATTAAAAAATTGTGCTTAATCATTCAAAGATACAAGTACGTCTAAACGTGGTTATCATGGACCTTCAATGTGTCAGTTTTTACACTTTTTCAAATTTACGTTTACTCTTAATTATAAAACTTGCTAAATAATCATCTTTGCAACCAAGCGTCAATATGATCTTATTAAAGCACTGCTTTTATTAGTATGTTCATGATAGTTTTGCTCCTTAACTTGTTAGCGACAGTTTGACATTTATTATATATTTTGAATCGTTGATTCACTTCATATTAAATAAATGAAAGTCACTTTTGCAACGTATTAATAAGATTAATGTCAACTTTATTTAAATATAGACATTCTCCATATACTTCTCCATTCACTTGTTTTTTGTTTCTTTTTTTTTTTTTTTTTTTTTTTCAATATGATCTTACCATGACATACGATTTATGTACAACGTGTTTTGTGTTTATGACTATGGACAAATATGTATACGCCAATAAATTATTTATATCTATAATTAAACATGAAACATTATAATGTACATGTGCGTAATCTGCGTAATGAGCCCTACGCCTATGATAATGGCTGAGGCGACGGCAATAACGATAGCAACAATTATTATGATAATGGCTGAGGCGACTGTAATAACGATAGCAACAATTATTATGATAATGGCTGAGGCGACGACAATAACGACAGCAACAATTATTATGATAATGGCTGAGGTGACGACAATAACGATAGCAACAATTATTATGATAATGGCGGCGGCAACGACAATAACGATAGCAACAATTATTATGATAATGGCGGCGGCGACGACAATAACGATAGCAACAATTATTATGATAATGGCGGCGGCGACTGCAATAACGATAGCAACAATTATTATGATAATGGCGGCGGCGACTGCAATAACGATAGCAAAAATTATTATGATAATGGCTGAGGCGACGACAATAACAATAGCAACAATTATTATGATAATGGCTGAGGCGACGACAATAACGATAGCAACAATTATTATGATAATGGCTGAGGCGACGACAATAACGATAGCAACAATTATTATGATAATGGCGGCGGCGACGACAATAATGATAGCAACAATTATTATGATAATGGCGGCGGCGACGACAATAACGATAGCAACAATTATTATGATAATGGCGGCGGCGACTGCAATAACGATAGCAACAATTATTATGATAATGGCTGAGGTGACGACAATAACGATAGCAACAATTATTATGATAATGGCTGAGGTGACGACAATAACGATAGCAACAATTATTATGATAATGGCGGCGGCGACTGCAATAACGATAGCAACAAATTATTATGATAATGGCTGAGGCGACGACAATAACGATAACAACAATTATTATGATAATGGCTGAGGCGACGACAATAAACGATAGCAACAATTATTATGATAATGGCGGCGGCGACGACAATAACGATAGCAACAATTATTATGATAATGGCTGAGGCGACGACAATAACGATAGCAACAATTATTATGATAATGGCTGAGGCGACAGCAATAACGATAGCAACAATTAATTATGATAATGGCGGCGGCGACTGCAATAACGATAGCAACAATTATTATGGTAATGGCTGAGGCGACGACAATAACGATAGCAACAATTATTATGATAATGTCTGAGGCGACGACAATAACGATAGCAACAATTATTATGATAATGGCGGCGGCGACTGCAATAACGATAGCAACAATTATTATGATAATGGCTGAGGCGACGACAATAACGATAGCAACAATTATTATAATAAATGGCTGAGGCGACGACAATAACGATAGCAACAATTATTATGATAATGGTGGCGGCGACTGCAATAACGATAGCAACAATTATTATGATAATGGCTGAGGTGACGACAATAACGATAGCAACAATTATTATGATAATGGCTGAGGTGACGACAATAACGATAGCAACAATTATTATGATAATGGCGGCGGCGACTGCAATAACGATAGCAAACAATTATTATGATAATGGCTGAGGCGACGACAATAACGATAACAACAATTATTATGATAATGGCTGAGGCGACGACAATAAACGATAGCAACAATTATTATGATAATGGCGGCGGCGACGACAATAACGATAGCAACAATTATTATGATAATGGCTGAGGCGACGACAATAACGATAGCAACAATTATTATGATAATGGCTGAGGCGACAGCAATAACGATAGCAACAATTATTATGATAATGGCGGCGGCGACTGCAATAACGATAGCAACAATTATTATGATAATGGCGGCGGCGACGACAATAACGATAGCAACAATTATTATGATAATGGCGGCAACGACTGCAATAACGAAAGCAACAATTATTATGATAATGGCTGAGGCGACTGCAATAACGATAGCAACAATTATTATGATAATGGCGGCGGCGACTGCAATAACGATAGCAACAATTATTATGATAATGGCGGCGGCGACTGCAATAACGATAGCAAAAATTATTATGATAATGGCTGAGGCGACGACAATAACGATAGCAACAATTATTATGATAATGGCTTGAGGCGACGACAATAACGATAGCAACAATTATTATGATAATGGCTGAGGCGACGACAATAACGATAGCAACAATTATTATGATAATGGCTGAGGCGACAGCAATAACGATAGCAAACAATTATTATGATAATGGCGGCGGCGACTGCAATAACGATAGCAACAATTATTATGATAAATGGCGGCGGCGACGACAATAACGATAGCAACAATTATTATGATAATGGCGGCAACGACTGCAATAACGAAAGCAACAATTATTATGATAATGGCTGAGGCGACTGCAATAACGATAGCAACAATTATTATGATAATGGCGGCGGCGACTGCAATAACGATAGCAACAATTATTATGATAATGGCGGCGGCGACTGCAATAACGATAGCAAAAATTATTATGATAATGGCTGAGGCGACGACAATAACGATAGCAACAATTATTATGATAATGGCTGAGGCGACGACAATAACGATAGCAACAATTATTATGATAATGGCTGAGGCGACGACAATAACGATAGCAACAATTATTATGATAATGGCGGCGGCGACGACAATAATGATAGCAACAATTATTATGATAATGGCGGCGGCGACGACAATAACGATAGCAACAATTATTATGATAATGGCGGCGGCGACTGCAATAACGATAGCAACAATTATTATGATAATGGCTGAGGTGACGACAATAACGATAGCAACCAATTAATTATGATAATGGCTGAGGCGACGACAATAACGATAGCAAACAATTATTATGATAATGGCTGAGGCGACAGCAATAACGATAGCAACAATTATTATGATAATGGCGGCGGCGACTGCAATAACGATAGCAACAATTATTATGGTAATGGCTGAGGCGACGACAATAACGATAGCAACAATTATTATGATAATGGCTGAGGCGACGACAATAACGATAGCAACAATTATTATGATAATGGCGGCGGCGACTGCAATAACGATAGCAACAATTATTATGATAATGGCTGAGGCGACGACAATAACGATAGCAACAATTATTATAATAATGGCTGAGGCGACGACAATAACGATAGCAACAATTATTATGATAATGGTGGCGGCGACTGCAATAACGATAGCAACAATTATTATGATAATGGCTGAGGCGACGACAATAACGATAGCAACAATTATTATGATAATGGCTGAGGCGACGACAATAACGATAGCAACAATTATTATGATAATGGCGGCGGCGACTGCAATAACGATGGCGACAATGATGATAATAATGGCAACGATGAAGATAACGATTATAATGGCGGCGTCGACGGCAATAAGTTGATCGTGGCTGCATCGACGACAATAACGATGGCAACAATTAATAATGGCAGCGATGACGATAATGATGATGAATAATTAATCAACATTTTAAAAAGTGGTAAATATCCAAATGATGGTGTTTGCAGTTTAAGATGTGTTCTAAAACAACTTACCATGACTGTACGGCTTTTCCTCTAAAATATCAAAGAATAAAATGTCAGAAATATGACATGAAGAAAGCCTTTAAATATGTGTTTTTTCAAGGAAAATGAATAAGCGTTATAATTTAATTTTCCTATTTCCGGGTTTTCTTTTTCTAATGTTCTTTCCCTATGTAATTGCAATTTTCAAGGAAAGTATGAAAAAAATAAACGCGTATAGGGATAAAATTGGTTGGTAAAATAGTAGTAATTATAATAATGTTTTTCTCTTTTTATATCACGAACCTTTTTTCCTTACAAATGACTACTTATCCCAAATACGGAAACAAATATAAATATTAGAATGTATTCACTAATTATAATGAAAATATTTGCCATATTTTGCAGTTCGGATCAGAATATCTGTCTTGAGTGTACCTGTCCTTTTGGTGTTTATGAGGCTTTCCGAATTGTTTCATTGAAATAAATGTAATTTCAACAGTAGCGTAGGAATTTACAAGTGCAATCATAACGGCGAAATGACATCATCCTAGACACGCAGTTGTAAAATGCGCAGAAATGGCGTCATTGTACAGCCCGCGACTCATCTGGCACCTCGCTTGTCAGAACAAATGATATGGACTTTTCGTTGATTGTTAAATATATTTATTAATATGTGCTGAATAAACTCTTGAATTGAAAAAATTGAATTGAATTGAATCAACTTCTGAGAGAAATTATCATACGTAATATGCCTGACGCATGTTTATTTTCATTACTAAGATGGAAAAACAACTATTCCATTTTAATGAAACAAAATTCATTTCCTTTTACAATATTGTTAGGATTGTTTACTTTATTCAAATGGTTTATTTGTAAATTACATGAATAAAGTCTTATATTCTATAGTTCAAAATACTTTTATTTTTTTCTATTTAAAAGGTTTATCCTTCAAGAAAAGAATACACAATGAAATAAAACGTTAAAAAACAAATCCCTATATGAAAACAAAATGCAGGCTGTTATAATCAAATTTATCTAAACCAAAGTATATATAGGACGTAACTTCTCTATACTCCTTATTTTGTTATGATTATTATTGTTATGAATACCACAATAATTAAGATCAAAATGTAGATACCTTCTCTATACTCCTTTCGTTTTAATGATTATAGAAGAATACCTCAAACATTGAGACCAAAATTAATAGAGGGGCGTACCTAATCTATACTCCTCCTTCCTTTATTACTATGATCATAGTAATGAATACGACAATTAACATCATCCTTGCAGGCACCACCACGAAGCAAGAAAGTGGTATCAGAGATAGTTAAATTTTAACTCCCTATAGTATAAAAAATAATTATCATTATCATCATTTCTTTATTATTTCAATTATGTTTATCAACATCTTAATCATCATCATTATAACCATTATCAGTTATTATCATTATTATTAAAATAAACAAAATATACTATGAACATTAAGTTTTAATGCAAAGTGATAGTTTATCAGACAAGAAAGAAACACCTACCATATTAACAGGCACGTGTTCTTCTATATCCTTCCGACTTTTACTATTTACACCCTCGGCTTTAAAGATGTAATGCAACAGCCAGATTCTTACCTTCAATGTCAAGGTCGCACTCGAGTGCCAAATCTTAACATTTTGTTTGGGGTTTAAACTTTTTCATCAATCAAGAGATTTTGAAATAACTTGGCACATACGTTAAAAATAATAAGACGACATGTCCTGCGCAACACCTAGACCCCTAATTCAAAGGTCAAGGTAATACTTGGAGGTCAAAGCCTAAAATGGTCTGTTACAGGGTATGATGCCAAGTCAGGTCCATGCAAATAAAATGTCATTGGTGAACCGCCCACATACCTTGATTGATAACTGGGCATGAAATATACCCTGTGACAGATCATATCCTATATTCATTTTGTCACATTTTGTGGCTTTGAAATAGTGATAACAAGTATACAATTGTATTTCTGTTGACACATACACAGGAGTCATTTCATTATATATCTTAAATGAATTTATTGTTATTGTCATGATTGTGCAAATCTAGCATTGATCAAAATTTTACACTGACAGTCCAGAAATTCTCTTAGGCGGAGGACGTTGGTTGATCTGTTACAAATTCTTGTTCTGTATGTAATTGATTGTGAGTCAATTCATCTTACCCACAAAATGATGGTTTAACTTTGTTTATTTAGTCTTGAACTCCAACAAATGGCCACTCTACTATTTATCAATATATGTTAGTAATGTAAGGATGTATAATATTTTACCCTTAATTTATATGTTCATTATGTTTTATAGTTTTGAATTTTCCAATATAATATCATAATCAATATGCAACATATTGTGAGCCAATGGTTAAATTATGGTGAATATTCTGTTATAAAGAGACTTATAAATTTTATCTTCCAAAGACAGTTGACTTTTTTGAAAAAGAAACTATTTTTTATGTAAAAGAATCTTTCAACACAACAAATGATTTCTCTAAATTGCTGTTTGACAACTTTTGTCGTTGCTTTTAAGCTTTTCCATGACGTGGTATTTTTAACTCTGTTTTTTTTTTTTTTTTTTTTTTTTATATATTGTATTCTACTTTGCAAAAACCAATTGTCAATAACACAGTTGGTCAACGCGATAAATAAAAACTATACTATAAATATATTTCAGAATTCATCTGTAACGTTCACTTTAAAAAAGAGTGAAGCAGTCTTTATATTTTAAAGGCAGTTTTCCAATCCATTTTTAATTATTAATTGATGAATGACCATGATAGGTGATAGTCAATCTTTTGAAATATATAACTTATTAAGCTCAAATTATCAACCAAAAAGAGCATAAAGACACTTTAAAATTAAAATTGACAGTTAAAAGTAAATATGCGTTAAGTTCAAGTATATTAAATTGTCTTAAGTATCACATTTCCTGCACATGAAATTTATTATTCAAAAATGTTTTCTCATTTTTTCATAAGTGAAAAAGTTTTCATAAGGGAAAAAGTTACACGTCATCTTTTCTTTTGCTTATGAAGCAAAATAAATTACTTGTATTATCAAAAAAACTTGAATTCTTAGTTGGTTTTAAGTGATGGTAAAGACTTCGCTATAGACAAGTTTCATGAAGTTTATTACGATCATCAGTGAAATATATATCGATATCACGTGCAAAACAAACAAATATCCTCTATATCTTTTACGTATAATAAAGGAAAATGTGTATATGAAACACTTCAATCTGAAAAAAACTTTAATTCATCTAAGCTCACGTTCATTTGTGAGCTGTTAACATCCGGATATCATGTGAGAGACTGCGGCTTCGAATTCCACGGGCGTTATCGCTCCATCACCTATAAAAAATAAAACATATTTCCGTTAAAAATGCCCTACATGTATAATGTTATCCGATAATAATGACACAACTGGTACAGTAATTCATATAATCATGTATTTGTATGTTTTTAGATATTTTAAAGGGTTATTAGTTAACCAATCTGAAGGTCACGTGATGTCCTCCCAGCTTTTTTGATGCAGGAAGACCCCGCATGCCCCCTCGTGCATTATTTAGGACACAATGTGCATTAAATATTTAAAAAATTATCAAAGTATATTCATGCAGAAAAATTACTGACAACCATTTATCGCATTTTTCCAAATACGTAAGATTCCAAACCTTTCATGACGTCTAGATCCTTGAACAATGCTTCGGTTACTTCATGGCTACCGAGAATATCAAATAGTTCCTCTCGGCTGATTGTACCGTCACGATCTGTGTCGTAGGTATGGAAGCTACAAGAATCATCTAGCTTAATGTGATAGTGATAACCATCCTGCAAGAATAACAGACATCATACAATAATCTTTAAAATATTACAATATTACCATTTTTATTTCATATAAACAATTGCATGTAATACTTTTTATAAATGTTAACCATTATTATAGTAAATACCAAAACCTACACAAATCTATGTTAATTTTTATTAAACATATTTTGAACTAGTTTAATATAAACGTTACATCATATGACAATATTACAAATGTGAGACTTTTTTATTATAAGACTTAACGCATTAAATTTAAGGGAAATATTTTTGTACTAAGTTTCACTTATGATATGTCGAGGCCAAATGACTTCATTGCGAAGTAATATTAAAAGTGTGATATATTTCACTTGTTTAATATCATGAGGTGTTTCTACATTGTTAAGTACAATATGAATACATAGCTGTCATACTGAATTGGACTAGGCGCAAGCGGAATATGATATAGGTTTCGCAGCTGTGTGCGAGTCCAATAGAATCAGTATTATTCTTAACCATATTTATTGACCTCTTTATTTCACACAACATATTTTCAAATTTAAGGGGCAGGGCGTGAAGTGGTTGCACAATTGGTTCAAGCGAGCGAATTAGTTGCAAACTTGACAAAATGGCGATCACGGCGTGATTTTTTGAAACGGGTGAACGAATTTTTGCCAGGCAAGTGGGTTTCTTTGTTATTTTGAAGTTCATTAGTATGTCTATTCCATAATGCAATATATATGCCACACTTGGTTAAAGGTTTCAGCATCCTAGATTCTGTTTTGACGAAGTTATTGAAGATATAAACTGATCATGTAGATATTTTGAAATTTGACATGTGACTGTTCTGGTCGGTTTTTCTCCTAATTTATTCGAATTTGTAAGTTTTGAACTGCATTTAACAATAACAAAATATGTTTCTGTCAATGCTGTACAAATAGTTTAGTTCGCATGTCCGAAGATAACGTTCAATACACAAAATATCTTGTTCAAGCACATTTTGGTTACAGACTTATACTTCAAGCATTTTTGGTTGCAAACTTATTCTTATTCTATTGAAATCCATAGTAAAACTTTGCAAAAGGAGTGTAGAAGGTTATATTTATTAACCTATTTCCAATGGCAATTATTGACATTTATGTTCTGTTACTTGTTTTTGTTATAAATGTTATTTATACTTTCTTCTTTTACAACAATTATGCAAATATGTGCTACCACTTCACGTCCTGCCCCTTGAAATTTAAAAAGAACTAATAATACTTTAAATACAATAAAGATTTTATATGGATTAACGAAAACGTGGCCAGATGAGGTGCAATATGGATTTGATATATGGCGATGAAAATGTGGCTGTAGGGGGTGTGATATAGATTTGATATGAACCTATAGTACTCTGGAAATTAAAACGTGGTTCCAAGTGGTGCGATTTTGGATTTGACATGGATGTTTTGGGGGAGGCTAAATTCATAAGATTGGATCCAATAATTATTTAAATGGGGAAAAAACGTTGTTCAAATGCTGAAAGTGTATTGGTTCGATTTTATAAGGTATGGTATATGAAATACGTAATGGTTATATTACAAGGAAAACAAAGAGACGCCATGTGATAAAAAAACTGTTTTAAACACATACTTTGAACAATGTAGCATTATTTAAAAACTGGGCTGATATAATCGTAAGAATATGAATAAAACAAATCGTATATTGTAGTAGAATTTAGAATTGCTTTACCCATTGTATTTTTACTTCTTCATCTTTCAATGATCTTTTGTAAGACGGGTATCTTATAGGTCCTCGGCCGTCTGATATCTTTGTCGAAGATTTCTCACAGGCATTCGTAAGCCAAAGACAAGCACATAAAACAATAGCCAATTTCATTTCCTGAAAATGAAGAGAAGAAGACAAACGTTTAACTAAGGCAAATTTTCGGCTTAAATAATGTATATGAGAGAGCATCAGTAATGCAAGGACAATATGGATTATCAGCAAGAACTTACAAGATCAATCGTAGACGTCTGTTTGGTACGTCTACGTCATTTCCTTTATTTATCAATTCAACTGATAAAGCTTACTAAAGCGAAACATGTTTTGAGAAATTGTGTTGGTCTTTGATCTATTTATCTTAAGATCATTATTTTAAAAGTCGTGATAAAATGATCAAGGAAATTAAAAAGAAAACATTTAATCCTGATTTTGTGCAAATAGAAATAAAGAAGAATATTAATTACCAAAGTCTCTATGGGACTTTTATTCGGAAAAAGGTCAAATTAACTTAAAAGAAAATACATGTATATTGTTTGAGTTGTTTCATAAATTATGTTCAGAACGAAATAAAACCTAAATCTGCGACTGGATTTGTAAAAAAAAATAGATGTCGTTTTAATATCAAACTGTTAAGTAAACAGAATTTCGAGTCTATAAACTGACTTGGAAAAAGTTTTCCAAACACGATGAAAAAAACAATAAAAATTTTATAGAGATTATAACTAGAGATTATAACAAGAAATGAATACCTTGTAACGCTGCATGACGTTATGATTAAGGTAGAACGCGACACTTTGCGAACTTTCGAGTAGCGTCTTGAAAATTGGCATGCAGAAAGTTGACCATATTTCTGATTAGGTTCCGTTGATTTTATTTCAATAGTTTCAGTCAATTTTTGTACACACGGCGTCAAAGTGGACCATCAAAGCCCGTTTTTGAACATGACATCTTTGCGTAACCTTGGCAACTGTTACAGGTATTTCAACGCCATTGGCGAACAAATTATCTTAAATTCTACAGCATTCGACGGAAATTATTTTTCCTTTAAGCTGATATAAATTTTATCGTTTTACGCCGAAAAATGTTTGGAAAATGGAAAGAAAATTGTCAATTTTGTGTAAAATTTGACGTTCAGTTTAGTCGCAATTTTCGGCTTTAAAGCGGCTTATTAAAAAATTCCTGAAATAAATTTGTGATTTTTTTCTTTAAACGTTCTTTAAAATGTATACTCAGTCAAAATAACTAAAAAAATTAGGGGGTCACCGACTCAAATTTTTCGGTACACGTGATTTTATTTCCCCCATCCCTTGAGTAATTTTGTTACGAAATTCGACGTATGCAGATACGTTTGGGACTTCAAAGTGCGGCAATAATGTTCAGCTTATCAGGAGAATTGTTCTAGAGTTTAATTATACATATGAAACAACAACAACAATGTTCCATTGCGAATGCTTGAAAATTAAAATGAGACCTGACAATGATAGAGCATATTTATATTTTAAATCTTAGCCTAGGATTTAGGCGTTGATATTTTTTGCTTATTCATAACATACGCCCTATGTTTTACGAGCACGTCACAATTTCTTACTGATATATACTCGATTTTCTGAACAGAAGCAAAGACTGGAACCCAGGCTAGTAAAGTCTAAAAACAGGTACTTTTCAATATAACGTGTTTCTTGAGCAAACAAGAACTGTCAGCAGTGAACGAAACTTGCTAGATATGTAACAACAATTGTCTACTATCATGGGCTTGGTCGAAGTGCATTTTTATTGAATTTATTATCGCCTTTCCATTTTGTGAATAAACAATGTACGAAAAACAAACAAATTTTCTTTTTTTAATAACTTCATATGGAATTGTAAACAGACGAATGTACAGAAAATGACGTCAGGCGTTAAACGGCAACGCGTACTCTGCGTAAACAAATACAGCGGAGAGTTATCATTGCGGTGTAACTTTTTGATATTGTAATACATTAAAATTAATAATAACTTGAATCGAGAAATACGCCATAAGGAGCAAAAAGCAACTACATATTTTTTTATGTAAATTTAGAAATTAACGGAAATTCAATCATAAATTAATACATCTATCTATAATATTCGGAATTCCGTACCCTTTATTGTATCCATATATTTTCCGCAGTGGTCATAATGGCGTATAATTTCGTTTGTAGCGGGACTTTGACACAGGGCGATCGTTTTAATGACACAAAAATAACAAACGCCCCGTGATAGCGTGCCTTTTTTCCATAGGGGTGGAGGAAATAAAATCACGTGTACCGAAAAAATTTAGTCGGTGACCCCCTATTTTGTTTAGTTATTTAGACTGAGTATACATTTAAAAGTATGTTTAAAGAAATAAATAAAAAAAATATTTCAGGAAGTTTTTAATAAGCCGCTTTAAAGCCGAAAATTGCGGCTAAACTGAACGTAAAATTTTACACAAAATTGACAATTTTCTTTCCATTTATCAAACATTTTTCCGCGTAAAACAATAAATTTTGTATTAGCTTAAAGAAAAATTTAGTTTCCATCGAATGCTGTAGAATTTAGGATATTTTGTCCGCCAATGGCGTTGAAATAACCGTAACAGTTGCCAAGGATACGCAAAGATGTCATGGTCAAAAACAGGCTCTGATGGCCAACTTTGACGCCGTGTGTACAGAAATTGGCTGAACTACTGAACTAAAACCAACGGAACCTAATCAGAAATATGGTCAAATATGGTCAACTATTTGCATGCCAATTTTCAAGACGCTACTCGTAAGTTCGCAAAGTGTCGCGTTCTACCTTAATCGTGATTAATCTATATCATTATTTACTAATTATGAAGTGTGCTGAACATACTATTATATTATGAACGGTGTCTGTTCGTGCCTGCAATAGTAAGGGCACCTTACGTCTTCCTCCACCAGTAAAGCTGTAACGTCGGCATATGACCAATATTGTGTCGGTGTGACGTAAAACCCAAACAAACAATCAAGACCGTGGTTCGAATGTTTTAACTAAATACTAAATACGTCTTTTTAAGATTGAAACTTCGGTACCGGGGAAAGCCTGCCACTGATTCAATTAGTTTTGAAATTAATTTTGAAATAAGAGAACCAGCTTGGAAAATATGAATTAGTATCGGTTTGTTTATATTTGACCCCATTCAACTGCATATCATTTTTCTGATATCACAAGTCACGTGGGATGGTCACCCTAAGGATAAATGCTAGTACAGGGTCTTAATATCAGAGCGGATGCATTTTGAGTGACCTGTTTTCGAGGGGGGGGGGTGGTACCAGGGATTTGCATAGCTCAAGGTAAAGTTTCCTTTATTCCCCGAACGTGGTTGGGACTAGAACAAAAAAGAAAGACAGCCATAATTACCCTTTATCAGTCATTGGTATTCTTGTTCAAGTGCACAAACTGATGTTATGTTGAAATTGTTTGAAACAATATGATCTTAAAATGTTTTCCTCTCGTTTCCGTGGTAACTAGATATACGCTGATGACCTAGACGTGAATAAAATTCACAATAGCAAGTGTCCCAGTGGTTCCTGACAAGGAAATATCGTACAAAAACATTTGGAAATTCATATTAATCATTTTTAATTAAATGCCACTTTTTTCATTACTGAACTATCGAATTGAACTATTTTTGTCATTTTAGCATTATATACAAACATAAGTATTATAATATAAGGACAGAAACTCACCATTATAACTGTCCTCTGTAACACCGCACTTTGGGGTCGAACGCACTTTGGGATCCGACCCCAAAGTGCGTTAAACTTCGCACCGCACTTTGGGGTCAAACGCACTTTGGGGTCAAAATCGAAAAATTGACCCCAAAGTGCGTTAATATGCTACATATCAACGCACTTTGGGTTCCAGAGGTCTAAAGGTGTAATCTGAGTTTTGCTTAAAATACTGAATACTGACTTATTTTTCGATCTGCGACATTGAAATATTTGAGGTGGAGTTCAAGATGGCGGTCAATACTTTGATGATGCTTAAGTGATAAAAGTTTCATTAATTTTACCACTTGAAATAATACAAAAATTGTGTTCATATAACAAAATAAACGGTGGCATAAAAGTGACATTTTGCATTTTTTTATTTAAGTTTGCATACATATTTTTATTCAAGTTTTGCATATATATATATATTTTGAGTTTTGCATTCATATTTTATTGTATTTTTTTCGGTACATATTTTATTTTTGTTTTTCGTAAATATTTTAGCCAATCAAAACAGCCTTTCACATCTCATAACAGCCCATAGTTGAGTATATAAAACTAGCACAGTGGTTTGGTCACATTTCGGCCCATTTTTGGAAATCGGCCCAGTCGTTTTTTTGGCCGCGCAAGTCTGGTTTCGGCCGACCTTTTCGGGAACTATTTTTTAAATCATATAAATAAGTAGTAGTCCGTACAGGCAGTACTCAAAATATCAATTTAAGTAGTCGCACATTAAGAGCGGAGCTTCAGAATAATGTAAAATTCTCACTGTGGTATAGAGGGCAGTGTGGGGTATCGATCCCCCCGAGGGTTAAAAATAACATTTTAAAGGCCCATTATGCTTTTATTTGTTTTTCTTAAAAGCTTTTTTATTTTGATGTTCTTTTATATTATCAAAAAAATACACATTTGGCCAATTACCTAATCCATCTTTTTCATCTGTTGCTTTTTTGAAAACGATGCGTACAGTTATAGTGAATAAGTATTTTATATGGCATTCAAATACTACATTGTTTTGACAACTTTTATTACAAATAAATTTCACATTTATCGCTACTTTATTAGGTTACAACAACATCTTACATTTCTCTGATACCATTATTTTAACATTATAAAAAATTCATGTTTGCTCTTTCTAAATATTTCCATTAAAAAGCCTCTGGCGAACGGTTGTTTACGGAGCTTACAAAAAACCCCTTAAGTTTGTTGATAAGCTTAATAATATATTTGTAAAAAACACTACTTATAGTCTGATCTAAAAACTTGATGTTTCACCAGAACCTTGCAATAGAAGTATTATTTTTA